ACACTCCATGATTAAAATATTGGGATTTTTTTCCCCTTTCCATCCCACTCATCACTCTAAATGATCCTTATTCCTTTCCTTTATCTATTCCCCCATCCTCTAAAAAGCCATCTGCTATTTCCTTTATGAAAAAAATAAAACCTACAATTAGTGTCTTGTTCATCTTTTCTTTCTCAAAAAAAAGAGAACTATTATGCAAATACTCTACAATTTGGTTTCAAATACTCTTTGTAGTGTGATGAGCAATTTTCCTTAATACAAACCCAGCTTTTTTGCCAGGACTTACTAATAGATTTTTTTTTAAGGGAACTTTCACTTTTCACATGAAAAGTCCTCTAATGTAAACTTCTCAAATGCATATTTAGAATGGAATTATCGTTGCTCTTTGAATTGTAGGAGGAAAAAATAATCATTTTATATATTTAATTCTAAAAGCAAAGGCAAAAATAACCTCAACATTTTTCTTCTACCTTAAATGTCATTGTTTTCTTTACATTAGGAAATGACCTGTACCAAATATAACTTTCAGTAAATCAGAAAAAAATCTTTATTACTTTTTTTTTCTGGAATTATGTGTAAGTGATGGCAGTTTACCTGTTAGCACAAATTCATTGTTTGATTTTAGCCGCTCCTCAGGGACTAAAGCACATTTTGACCCAATTCATTCCAGGTATGGCTAATTCTAAGTCTATGAAGCCGCCTTGTTAACAGTGTAAGGTGCTGACGGAACTGAAGTAAAAATGACAATACTTTACCATTGAAGTAATGCAGAGCTAACACTCAGAAATTTTAAGTTTTAAATCTGATTTGCTACCGACTAGTGATCTAACCAGGAATCCCATTGATCCTGTTGCCTCATTTTGCAACTGAGAGTGTTCACCTCTTTCAATTGCTTCCCAGGTTTATACTAAGGATCAAATAACTGCTGTATTTCCCTTTTGCCATGGATTGTAGAGACACACAGGAGATTGAGATGTACCAGAGGTTCTCAAAGTTTCATGCTCCCTACACTAGCTTTAGCTGGGGAGTTTACTGTAAAAGCAGATTCCCAAATTCTATGTCTAAATCTGATTACCTGGGTATGGCGTCAGGAAAGCTACACTAGTAATGATAAACCTAGATGATTCTTATATGAATGAAAAACTGAGGGCCATAAGAGACAGAATATAGTCAGTATGAGTTTAATTTGATCAGATACCTAACATTTAGTATCTAACTATCTAGTATATAATTAATTATGATACTTAACCCAATTATATGTTTTGTTCATTTTTTTGTATGTGTTTTATATGTGTGCATATTAAAATTCAGTGAAGGAACTCTCTAGTTACATTAAGAGTACAAGCAGCTATTATTAGAGTAATTATTTAATTTGGCTAGCATTCATATCCATACTCATAACATGCACATATATACTCATATCTGTACTCTCTTTATAACTGTACTGCTTTGCTTTATTTCAAATATTTAATGAAATATACAGTGAGTGATACCAAAATCTTTGCAACCTAGTGGATGCAGATAGTCTACATGAATTCTGTGACTATTCTGGTTCCTTGGGGCAGCTAAGGAAGGGGAAACTGAAACACTTTTCTACTTGGAAAACAGTGATTTCAACTTCTGCCACAAAGGATCAGAAACAAAAAATCCTTTGAGACTGGGTGATACCACCTTATCAGCTTATTTCTTCTGTTTGGCCTGGGTCACTCCTTTCTCTGGGCATGTTCTTATGCTGCCCCTTTCTTCTTTTCTCAAAAAGTCAACTGTTAGACCTCACATGAAACCCTGGCTAGATCCAGGAAATCCACACACTTCTTGAGACACACTCCATAGCTGCGAATTACCTTTAGACACAGCTGAGCTCAATACCACTAAAATAGTAGCAGAGGTTAGAACTGGCAATGTCCTCCTAAATCATTTTAAGATGATAATTTTCAAGTCCATTACTTTAACATGGGTAATGATGGAAAACGTTGTGCTCTGCCTACCCTCCTCTTCCTTTCCTACCCACATTTTCTATGTCCCAAAGCAAACACTGTCTACTTGCATGATATTTTTTTTCTGTTACTTTCTTCCATATGTCTAAACATGTTTAGACTCTCAACTCTTAATTTTCAGGTTTATACGTCATTTAACAGTTTCTCACTATCAACACAGGAATGTGCTTTTCACACCATTCCTATCACCTCCTTGCAAAAGTATGCCTCCCTTTTTTTCCAGTATAGTACTATGATTTCTACTTGCATCAATATTTTGTGCTTGTATTATTATGATTATTTAACTATTTCAGCTATGCTGTGTGGTGAATGTGTTTTCTGGAGCATACATTTGTCTTTTCTTCAAATTCATTTCTTCTTTTTACTTAAGTTTAGATTTCTGAACTAAACTTGAACACTGGTTAGAAAAAATAAATGCCTTCTTACTATATTTTCAACTCTTTATGTATTCTATCAAGCACAACTTTGTGGGTTTGATTTCCAGGGTGTTGTATCCTGTCGCAATCTAGTTGGACTGCTATCTCAGTCTGCTCTACAGCATTTATTCGGGAATACTCCTTTACTATCATTCTTGATTTCAAAATCTCATGTTGCATCCTTGTTTACTCCATTTGGACTCTTTTAAATCTCTCCCCACCCTTGATGAGCACATTTAGCAGAGCAGTAAAAGCAGGAAAAGTAAATTTTTAAAGGTCTGGCATGTCTGGACATATCTATGATGTCCACTCACTTGGTTGACATTTTGCTGAGAATAGAATTCTAGGTTTAAACAAAACTTTCAGAATTTTGAAGTAACAGATCCATTTAGGAGAAGGAACCCATGGGCGGTCTATATTTCCATCTTATATGAATTTACAGTCTGTTTTCCCCAGAATACTTGTCTTTCCATTGTGCCTCACATCCACAGTCCACAATCCTTTCAGCTTAGAGCTTTCCAAAGGTGGAGACAGAGCCCTATAATCTAAGTGGTTCGTAAGTGTATTTTGAAGCAATTCTGATGAAAAATTGGTCCTTCTTCCATCATCAACAGAGGTGTGTGTGCTAAAACACCGGAACCTTTGTTGGTGCCCACCACTGGATTGCATCTTAGTTTTCTCCTCCTGCTCAGTGAGGCTTCTGACTTCTTAAGTTTACTACGTCAGTTGCCGTGAGTTAACCACTGTCTACTTTTATTGTTCTACTCTATTGTCTCCACTCTATTATTATGTTTTTATTAATTCCTTTATTCTCAATATAGTAAAATTGAGAGGGAATGGAAGCAATTCATGTATTAAACCTGCCAGGCTGTCTTAAACAGAAACTCAACAGAGCATTCAGTCCTTAATTTTTTGTTGTTGTTGTTAAAAAAAAAAAAATCAAAGCTATAGAACATGTTTAAATAACACAGAGAGGGGGCTGGGATGTGACTCAGTGATAGAGTGCTTGCCTAGCAGGCTGAAGCCCCCAGGTTCAATCCACAGCACTGAAAAAAAAAAATAATACAATGAACTTTCAGTACCTGCATAAAGATAAACTGATATCAAATTACCATGTATGTACAACCCCCTATGGGTATGTTTGTGTATGCTTACGGATTTGTATAACAAACACACAAATCAATACATACACATATTCCAAATCTCTCTTTCCCTCCCTCTTTATTGCTCATTTTCTTTTTTTCCTTCTCTCAGAGGAAACCATTTAAAAGAAAATTGCAGACATAAAATACTTTGTTCATACTATTTCAGGATCTCCAAGAATCAAAGAAAATTCTTCCATATATCCATAATACTTTTATCATTCTTCAGAATTTAATACTGGCATAGTATTTACATAATAGATAGTACCTATTCACATATTTCCCCAATTTTCAGAATAATATTCTCTGTAGTGTGTGTTTTTTCTTCTAATTCAGGAATCAATCAAAGACATAGCATTGCCTTGTCTTTATAATGGATTTTAGCTTGAATATTCTTTTTTGTATCTCTCACATGACATTTTTAATGAGTTCAGACCAGTTCCTTTCTAGATTGTCCTAAAATGTGGATTCGTTTATTTATTCCTTATTATTAGATTCAAATTAATATTATTGTCAAGCATATTATGTAGGTGAAATTATGTGGCCTTATGTGAACAAAATTTGATTATTGTTTTCAAAAATTATTTTATTACTTAAAAGCACAAATCAAATCAAAGCAACGTGTATTAACATATCCCTTATGGTAATATGTGTTTCAAATTATGCCCAAAATGTTTATAATAACTTTTGATTGGAGGCAAACGTTAGGATACTCTAAGTAACCATTATGTGTCCACTTTTTATTTCCATTAAGGAAAGTTGTCTTTTGGTTATGATCAACAAATTAGAACTTTTTCTCAATTCACAAAATAAGAAATTTGAGTAGACAGAATTTTATAGTACCATGTAGCTCTCAAATTTTATGAATCTATGACTAAGAATCACTTGTAATTTTGAAAACAAAATAAATTTCATTAAGATTATGGATCAAAATGTATTATTCAAATGTTTAATCTTGTATATAAATTGGGTATTTTGTAATATATATGTTTACATATTTACTATTTGTACATTTTACCATCTTAACACTGACCAACTCTACACTAATAATAGATGTCTTAAAATTGGGTTGTGTTTCTCTATCTGCAGATGGCTGCATTTATATAGATTATTGTACCCTAGAATGAAGGTCAAGAATTAAAAATCCATGGCCTAAGTTGGGATTCACTTTAATGTACTTGGGAGTAATAAAATATTATTCATACTTCAAAAGAGAACACATTGATATTAATTTTATAGATACTTATTCTATAACCACTTACATTTTACTGAGTATATAGGCTTTGTTTTTATTTAAATCACTTTAAGACTAGTTGCAATAATATCTTTTCATTTGTAATTGAGTATATTTTCAAAAACATTATCAGTACCATCAGAACAATGTAACCAAAAGTGTTTGAAATTTTGAGTTGAAATATTGGTATTATTTTTTTTCCTTCTTACAGGAAGCTCTGATCATGGCCAGCATGGACCATCCACACCTAGTCCGCCTATTGGGTGTGTGTCTAAGCCCAACCATCCAGCTGGTTACCCAGCTGATGCCCCACGGCTGCTTGCTGGAATACGTACATGAACACAAGGATAACATTGGATCACAACTGCTGCTGAACTGGTGTGTCCAGATAGCTAAGGTAAGTACTGTCACTTCCTATGGAAATGACACTTCTGTGTTTATATCTCCTAATCTGGAACAGTTTGGAAATTGAAAACATGTCAAGTCTTTCAAACCATTAAAACAAACCAAAATTTATTTTCCATATATTAAAGATGCATTATAAGGTGGTACCTGCATGCCAAACAGATGATTCACATGATCTACTCATATGTTTGGATTACCATACTGTGCCATTTGTGTTACATTGAGCATTGAGAGGCCAAAATAAAAAGCTTGCTAGTCAGAGGGAAAAATTACTATATTGGGTTTCTTTGATTTTTTTGTTTGTTCTAGTATAGTTAACAAACAAAATTAAGAAAGAAAAGATTGGATGTCCAAGTTGTTCCATTTTTAGCTGATTTTATTACAGTACATGGAAGAATTGTCAATAACCATGAATGATACAATGCTAAATATTTTCCTAACCCTTTGGGAAGTCTTCAGCTGGTCTTTAGTGGTTAACTTCACACAAGAGCTCAGGCATGTAGCATACATAAGGGGAGTGAGCTTGGTAATGGGGGAGGTGGCTCTGTGGTAAACCAGAGAACAACTATTGCCCTTGAGAAGCCTATGATTTGGAGAACATTGCCAGTTATCAGGTATTATTTTTCAAGAAGGCCTATAGTTTCAAATTTGTAAATGAATTCTTCAAATTTAAATGTTAGCTCTAACTTCAGAAGTACTCTAAGAACACGCAAAGCATTTACAACCATATTCCACAAAGGTATACACATTTTCTTATTTAAAAAAAATCTATGTATGATTTCTTGTACTAGAAACTTTCTTGAAGAAAATTATCTTTCCTAAAAAATAGGGAAGGTGATAAATTTAAATTCACTATTTTAACTCTTAATTTACTCAAAATATTTGATGTTTTATAGATTTTATAGACATATTACTCTTCATATTTATCAATGGCAAAATATTAATTTACTAGTCTTTCCCTATTTATTTTTGCAATCTAAGAATGAATAAAAGTCCATTACCAAAAGCAGAAATTTGAGACAATTCTTACAAATGCAAACCTCAGAATTACTTGAGAGAAAAGCCTAGCTTAGTTTTATATATGGTAAGGTTCAATTTAGTTTCCTTAAGGACTATGTATTATAATTTTGTGTTTATTCTCAAATCATCCTAGTACTATAAGTAAAAACATAGCTAAGATTTAAATTTCTTAGCTCTCTCTGTATTTCCTGCTGTGTTCTCCACAATTTAAGTTTTGTCTTTAGGAATCCATGGCATTAATATTATCATTTATACATCACTATACTCTAATGATAGAAACTACTTTGAGTGCCTGGAGTAACCACACAGTTTTATACCGTTTTTCTCTCTGCTTGAAGTTTTTTTCTTATATCTACTTGATTCACACAGCATGGTCTTATTTATCCATCAACACTGATTGGTCTTCTTCTCTACCAAGCCCTCCCTATTCAACATTTTCTCCAGAAAAATGTGATTACTTTCTCTTCTATATTAATGTCAATCATTGGCATTTTGAACACATTTCTGTTATTTAAATGCTTTACTATGTTTTTATAAATCTCTTTGTTTTTTTATGGAAAACTTGTTTAATCATTAATCCTTCAACAAATACTTGAAGGCACTTATATAAGATATTATGCTGACTTGCTAAAGGAGGAACATATAGGTAAATAACAGACTTGGGTCTGATTCTCTCTGCACATCCTAATAGGCTGAACATTCAAGATGAAGTATACAGTTATATACCATCTGGAAGAAAAATAATTATAGGGTAGACTTAAGAGAATGACCAATAAGTTTTGAGGTAGAAAACTGGCTATGGGAAGAATTACTTAGAGGGAAGATTACAGGGAACCCTATTTAAGGTAAGCAGGTAAGTTATCATCCAATGGGACAATTTTAGAAGTGAAAGGGGACTCTGTTACTAGTCACTTCAGGACAACGGGCACAGAAAGATCCTAAATAGAATGGGATATGTGATTACCCTGTAAGGCATAGAAAGTTTGGGTTTTACATTAAGTTCAGCAGGTAGTTATGAAATATTTTAACATGGAATTGACAACATTTATGGTCTCAAGAGATCACGCTTTTATGTATAGAGATTATATGAAGTCAATAAAGAATGGAAATGAGGATTCCAGTGCAGACTCTGGGGGCAATGCAAACAAAGAGAAATAGATGGAATGAAGAGATATTTTTGTGTAAAAAACCCGAGTTGAATGATTATTAATTACATGTGGTAGGGGACAAAGACGAGTATGGTGGGTGCCATTTCCTGAGATGGTGAAGGATGAGAGATGAATGTGTTTAGAGGATAATCAAGTGTTCAGCTATAGACATAGCACATTAGAAAAAATTTGCAGTACATGGATCTAGGAACGTCAAATAATCAAAATTGTTCAGATTTAGGAGTTACAGGTATTTAAATGTAAGGAAATATGAGGCTACCCCATGGCTAAGTCTGATTCTTAAATCTATTCTTAAATCTATTCCTAAAATTGGAGTCTTATATGTAGTATTCATTAAAGCAATACTTAACTCATACCTTAACTAATAAAAAACAAAAACTACCCTGAAGGAGAGTGTCCTTTCTTTATCTCTTTCCCTTGTTTAGGGATGGAGTTGTATAGTGGAAGCAGCATTAGGGTCAGAAAGACATACCTTCATTATTATGTTGGTGCCTACTTTGCAGTTTTGTGACTTTTATTGTTATCCAAACTGAATCCCTTTTTTTTCTGTGTATGTAATATAGTTAATAAATTTTATATTTTATAATCTTCAAAATCAACAGATCTGGGCTGGGGCTGTAGCTCAGTGCAGAGCACCTGCCTTGCCACATTATGCATAGTATTTGCATATAACCTGTAAATATTCTTCCATATGCATTAAGTCACTTCCAAATTACTTATAATACCTAATACAATGCAAACACTTTGTAAAATCATAATAATAGTGTGATGTCTAGAGAATAGCGATTAGAAAAAATTACTAGATATGTTATGATATGATATTTTATATATAAATATATATATATTTTTTTCTCCCATTGGTTGAATCCTTGGATTCAGAACCCACAGGTATAGAGGTCTGATAGGCTGAATAACATCCTAATTCCAAAAAAGTCTTCATCCTGTTCCCAGAATTGGTAAATATGTTAATTTTCATGTTAGAAGGGGCTTTGCAAATGTGAGTAAATTGAAGTCTGCGGTTGAGGGGTATCCATGGAGTATTCAAGTGGGCTCAGCATGAGAACAAGGGACCTATTAAGTGGGAGGAAGAAGGACTAGACTTAAAAAGAGAAGATAAAAAACACAGAACCAGCGTTGGAGTGATATACCATGAAGATGGAATCAGGGGCCACAGACTGAGCAGTGTGGTCTACCTCTGGACACTGGAAATGGAAAGGCATTCCTATAGTCTCCCGAAGGAACACAGGTCTGCCCATACCCTGATTTTAGTGTGGTTAAACTGATTTCTGGCCTCTAACCTCCTGAGCAGTAAGAAAATAAATATACATTGTTTTAAGCCACTAAATTTGTGGTTATTAGTTAAAGCAATAAAAAAATGAATATACTTCTTTATTATGATTTGGAGATTAAATAAAATAACCCATGTACATTTCCTTGCTCAGCTTCTAGAATATGAAATGTTGAAATACAGTCTCATTATCAGCTGTAGGTTGGAAGCCATAAAACAGAAAATTGTTTCATAAATGTCTGTGAAATATAGGTAATATTGTCTGAGTGAAGACAAATATTTTACAAATACCTTTTTCTTTGAGGCTTCTTTTTCTTTGCTTCCAATTCTCATCAAGACAGACTCAAGAAAGTGTATGAGATTTTATCATGATTGACCCAGTACCCGCTATTATTTTGCTTGCATCTCTTTGTTGTTGTTGTTGTTGATAAAACTGGACGGTGAAGGGAGAGATGATGCTCTAAAGTAATCAATTTATTTTTGTGTTATAACATACCTGTGGAACATTGAACAGTACTCAGAAGAAACAGTGCTCACAACTGACTCTACCAAACATTTCTTCTGGACAAGGCATGACTGTATATATTTTTAATTAATTGATATGTCTCATCACAGATCTGTGAGACAGGTATCACCATTTCACAGATAAATAGAAATATAAAGAACTGAAGTAACTTCATTAAGTCCAGAGAGGTCATAAATGAATAATAGAACCATTGAACTATCTTGTCATGTATAAGGAAATAAGTATTTTTAAAATATTTTCATTAATATTCCAAATTTTCTATCCATTCTTTCTTTAATTGATCATTCTACAAAATTTTATGTAATAAAAGACACACATTTAAACATCGAAGTCATCTATTTATAGGTGGCCCTATTCACTCCAGAAGCCCAGCATAACATGGTTTTGTTTCATGTTCATACAATACCAAATGTCTTCTTGATGGCTTAGGAAACTAAGATGTAAGGTCGTGATGACAATTCCTTCTTTCACAGTTGTTGCTGAAAAGTTAGACAAGTATTCTTTTTTGACAAATTAGAAATTCTGCAAAGCGTGTTGTGGGCTTCAAGTGAAGAACTTCATGGTAAATAGCATTGATAATGAGTCAATCCATATGGAATATGTTTGTTAACTTTCCATTTTCTCAAATTCCTGAAATAAGACAAGTCATAAAGAGAACAGGGATCCTTTGGCTCATGGCTTTGGAAGTTTCCATCCATAGGCAGTTGGTTGGTTGATCATTGCTTTTGGGCCTCTGACAAGGTAGGACATTGTGGCAGGCAGCAAGGGTGGACCAAAAAAGCCATTTGCCTCACAACTGGAATGTTAAAGGGAGAAAGAGGAAGGGGCCAGGGTCTCACAATTCTCTTCAAGTGTGTGCCCCCAATGACCAGACCTCCAATTAGGCTCCACTTCTACAAGTCTCCACCACCTCTCATGGGAACTATGTTTTAACGCAGGGGCTTTGGAGGACATCTAAGATCCAGACTAGAGCAGGTATCGAGCCTATG